AGCTGGAAACTTGTACATAATGGTCTTCTTTCTACCAATGTCCATCTCTATAAACCTCTGATAACCAGAATCAAGGATAAGACGAGAACCTGGAAATGCACAAACATGAATGTTAGGATGCAAAATGATTATGCAAATTCAAACATGGGATCTAGGTTTCCACATGCTCTGAATAGTTGTTGCATGGTTGACTGAAAAGGCCATAATTTTGCTTTAACGAGAAAACCATAAGACCAGAATACCTGTAATACCCAGAATCAAAAGTCCACACTGACAAGAAAACCAGAAAATCGGGTAGGTTGAAAGTCAACGTTTCCTGTAAGACCTATCCCTTATCTCATGTGGGTTCTAGTCTTATACAGAGCATCCTATGCAGGTCATCAGTATCACAAACTCTCAAGTCGAGAAATGATGATACGTTCACCATTTCTAGTTCGACATCATCATCAATCAAGGAGACCTCAACTAATTTCCCATGAATGGTCTCTAGAGTCGTAAGTTCTCTAAGTCAACACCCTATCTTCTGCACCAGACGCACATGATAGAGTATCTTCAAAGAAAACCTCGCCTGAATGTGGGTTTCGTGTCAACTACACGTGGTTAGACTCCATGCAAACCACACTACTCTCCACTCTAATCCAAAGTGTATACTCAAGCTTGGGTAGTGGGCTTATCTCTCATGGAACAACCCCACTCAACAGCACAACAACAGTAGAGCAATTTGATAACAGTAATCAAATTTAATATTAAAATGCATATGCAATGATATACACCAAATAATGTACATAAAAGCATAAAAAATAAACACCCAAAGAACAGAAACAGACAAATGCTAGGATTGACTCACATAGGGAACCTTAGTCCCCATCAGAGTCGCCAGCTGTCGCAACTGCGAAAAACACCCAGAAGAAAAAACAGAAGATTCGCCAGCAAAGAAAGGAGAAAGGAAATGATCAAAGAAAACCTCAAAGAAAGGGGAAGACATGGTCACTGCAACCAAATCTTGCGTTCGGGAGTCAGTTACGCGAGAGGAAGGTATTGGCACCCCCTCGTGTCCGTTGTACTCAACAGGATCCACGCTTGTTGTCTAATCAAATGGTGTGTTATCTAAAGCCTACTGCAAACGAAAACATGAACGAAAAGGGAAAAAATAAAAGGAGACTCGATAGGACATTGTCGTCCTAAGCCTACGTATTCCCTCATGCAATGGGAAAGTCAGAGTCAACGTAGTTCATAAAATTACGGGTGAAATGGGGGAAGGTTGCTCTCCAAGACACCGTCGTCTTTTGCCTATGTATCCTCATATGGAATAAGAAATCATAGTAGTCGTAGTTTGGCTCACCATGGGTTGCTTAGTGTTTTTTTATGAGCGACGTTAAGTTCTTATTCCAGCAGTTAGGGTCGATGCCTGTTTGCGGTAGAACGAAAAATAACGTACTCTTTCTAAAAATAGGTTGGCAAACGATCCCGAAGGATAAAAATAATTTGAATTTATTTGTGAGGTTTAAAGAAGTGAATTGTTTTGGTTTGAGATTCACATTGCACTAAAGTCTATGATATAGGAGCGAATGCGTCGCATGATCGCCCTCAAACGTGACGTATGCTAACCACTCTAGTCAAAGCAAGGAGAGACCTATCACTCGTCATTTTTCATATACCTAAGGCTTGTGGTGCACAATGTTCATCATATTTATTATGTGTTTGATGTTTTTTTGAGAGAAAAGAAGAGAAAGGCGCACAGAAGGTCTAAGGGGAAACTTAGTCCTAACGTTGTCATGCAAAACGGCCTTAAGGTCAGGATGCGAAAGGAAATTGTATCCTAATATTAGCATACAAAAGATGGACCTAAGGTTGAGGTTAAAAGGGACTAACCTATTATTATCATGCATGGATTAAACTTTTAATGTCTATCATACTCCAAGCTTAATCAAAACTTAAGTTGAACTAGGAGGCCTTAAGGGAGCATGCAAGAACAAGCCAAAACAAATAAAACAAAACAAAAACAGAAGCCACAACAGCGCTTCCAGCTTAGAACAACAAAAAAATCCAGCACACAAGTAAAACAGCTTTTAACAGCGCATGTTTTCAGGCAGAAACAAGTGTAAAAGGCGGCAAGGCAGAACATGTACGTTTAACAGCATGTATGCAACACAACAACAGTGTATACAACAACATGAAATGCAGCAAGACAAATGCATATGGATAGGCATCACTCATATACAATCATGTAACAACATAATATCAAGTACACATCCAAGATTGATCAATCAATAATGAACATGTTACATCACCAAGCATAATCATGCATCAAAAGAAAAGATCAAAGGCGTACCTTCACATTTAAGCAAACACACATGAATTACAAACATAAACAAGCATCGATCAAGAGCAATTGATTCACATGTGTAGACAATTAAGCACAAATAAATGGGCATGAACAAGTTTCAATAGCATCACATACTTAAGCACTCATCAAAAATATCATGGATAATTCAATAATTAATCGCTTGAAACAAACACACAATCATGAAATCAAAAACAAACATGAACATGAATCATATATCCAACAATGTAAACATCCAGAATAACTAATCGCAGTGGCACAAAGGATTACGCAACATGATCATCATATCAAAAATGGAAAATGAACGAATCGTGCACATGCGTTACGAAAACCAAAAGTCGTGCGTCGAAGAATCACACACATGCTATCAAGAATGATGAAATAGATCAAAAATTATCCACATATATGCATCATATCAATCCATGAAGATTAGAAGTGGAAAGGAATCGAAACAAGCTTGAAAGTGCACAAAAATCATATTATGTATCAGTGTTAATTGATTAACCATTTACAGTTCAAATTTGGTTAATCGATTAACAGCACAAAAATCAGCAAATTTACACTGGTTAATTGATTAACCAGTTTTCAACTGTAATTGGTTAACCGATTAACCTTGTTCCAGTAGCAGAAAATCAAGTTTTAAAAGCACTTTTCAGCAGCAAAACACTTGTTTAAGCATCCAAATGATCAAACAATCAATTATGCACGAAAATTACATGGAATTACAACAATCACACATCAATTAGATCCAACGATCATCAACATCAACAATCAAATTCAAGAAAATGGATCAAATCGTATCAAAAACCATGGATCTACATTAAGTTAAAATTAAGCTAGATCAAGTGTGGATCTGAAATTTACCAACCTACAAAGCAGAGGATTGCTTTGGTGGGTGTTGCAAACGAAAAAGGACAGATCTAACACAAGAAATTCAAGATCCTAGCAAGAAACCTCAAGATCCAAGCAATGTGATGAACTTGCTTCAAAGCTTCTTCAAGAATGGCTTCCAAAACTTGAGTCTAGATCCAAACAAGTTTCAAATGCAGAATTGAACCAAGAATTATGATGTAGTGGATGTTTAACTCAAGAATTTACAAATTGCAATGCACAATTTATGAATATATGAATATGGAGCTTTGGTGAAAGGTTGAAGATGAAAATGGAGAATGAAAAGGTGAGAGAGAATTGAGAGCAAATTCTGAAAAATGAGGGTGAAAATGAGAGTGAATGACTGAGGTTTGGAGTAAATTTGGTTAAATAACCTCTAGGTTAGGGATTAAATTTGGTTTGGAGTGTGGGTTAGTGAGAGGAATGGAAATGAGGAATGAAATTAGGAATGAGAATTTGAATTTTGGGTGGAATTAAATGATGAAAATGAATTAAAATGAATTCATTCTAGATCCTTCCAATGATGCACATGTGAAATCAAGTGGTGGAAATTGTGTTCAAATTCTGCAGTGCTGAAAATTGAAGTATTTGGGCAAATTTTGCCTTGGTTAATCGATTAACCATTTGTCAGTTCAAATGTGTTAATTGATTAACACAAGAAAATTTTAAATTTTGGCGCCTTTTAGAGAGAATCTTGGAAAATCACCTGTTATGAGCATAGTTTTCCCTCTGAAACTTGTCTTTTGATATTGCACCTGTAAAATGCCTGAAATAACTTGTGAATTGTCTCGTGCTCTCAAAATAACCTGCTGAAAAATGAAATCTGGTATCCGATTGCAGAACAAAATAAATGGTGATGCCTCTAATGCTTGCTGCTTACAAACTTGGAATAAAAGAAAATCTTGAGTCATAGAAACACCTTGATCCCATGTCTCAAGAGTCAACGTCATGATATGCACAATAACGATGCAAAAATGAACGAATCATAAGCCAATTACAACTAAAACGAAAAGGCAAATTTTAAGGTGTTACAAACGGTACATGTCATTTTCTTAAAAACTCACTTGTCTTCTGGCATTGCAAGAAACATTCAAGTGTTGTGTTATCCACAACTAAAGCGGAATATGTCAGTGCAGATAGTGTTGTGCGCAAGTTATCTAGATGAAACAACACTTAAGTGATTGCAGAGTTAATCTTAAAATTGTTCTGATAAAATGATATAAGATTAGTGTCATAAATCTCACTAAAAATTTAATACTTCATTCTTAAACTAAACACATTAAAATTAAACACAATTTTATAAAGGATCGGGTCGAAAAGAAAAATTGCATAACTGAGTAAATACTATTACAAAATCTCTTTTAAAAAATTTCATTTTTACACAATGTGAGTTATAAATCTTAAGTCAATCATGTGTGAATTAATGTGGTAAGTGTTTTTTCTCCATTCTATTTCTTCCCTTTCTCTATGTGATATAGATTATCTAATGTTGGACTCTTAGCTGTACTTTCTTATTTCTATACAAAATGGAATAACATGTTATATACTTTAGTGCCCTTTTTCATAGTTCATTTCCCTTACAAAATGAAATGAAAAAAATCCTCAGAATTGTGCAGATAATAACAAGTAAAGTGATACTTTTGTTCCATAATCTCAATTGATTACCGCAAATGGGATAACTATAGAATATGGCATTTTATTGAAATCCATTAAAATATATGCATATAAGGTTACATTACATAGGACAAAGTATAGTCAGAATCATTTAGATGTCGATTCCAGTAATTTCTTTAACAGTTCCTTTTATTTTCCGTACCAAAACATCCCTGCAATTATGAAATTACTTCTATTATTAATTCCAATAAATTATTGTCATAGATCATTGTAGAAAAATTAAATCTACCTGTCTGGCTTGAAAACTACGTTCTTGTATGCAAACCACTGAAGAAAAAGAAAAAAAAAATACAGGTTGGTAATTATTTTCTCTTATGTCATAATAAGTATTAAAACATTAGAATTGAAATGAAGTATACTTACCCCAGTGTAACCAATGCCTACAACTTCAAGAACTCCAGGAACTAAAGGAAGCCTATCAATTGCCTGTTATAGAAATTACTTATGTGATGGTCTCGGCTTAGGACATAAGTTTACGCAAAATACAGACATCAGACACGACCCTGATACACACATGTGCGCCCGACGCGCGTGTTCAGAGGTGTCTGTGCTAACGAAGTCAAAACTAAACGATGATAGAAAGCAAATGGAGCATTTATTTGATATAAATAACTTACTGAGATCACACCAACTGAGCCCCATAATGCAACTGCGCCAGCTACCGCTATTGTACTCACCGCATATTTGTCTTCAACTTTCTCCCACTATACATATGTATCAGGTTTAGATTATTACAACAATCACAACACAGATAGATACAGATATAAATTTTCTGAATTCTTACTGTTTCTTGAATAGTCTTGAGAAATTCTGGAGAATCGCTAACACTGAGCTCCCCGGTGGAGGCTGCTACTGGATCAACCGGTGATGTGGATGTTTCTGCTGTGGTACTCGAAGCCATCGACATAACGTTGCGAGCAATCTTTCGACCTGAATATGTTAAACCACAGCTGGTATTAGATATATAACAGCAAAACCGTGTTTTCCAAATGTATTTTGACTTACAGAATGCAGTGGTTTTCCATGGACGAGATTGAGACTGCAACGGTGGAGGAGGAAGAGTTGGAAGGGTCACACATTGTGGAGATGTGGATTGTCTGCAAGGAGGTTTGGCGTCAATAAGGGTGGATGAAGAGGAAATTGAAAGAGTGGAGGATGAGGTTGAAGAAGCCATAAGTGGTTAGTGAAAAACCTCTTTGATTTGAGGTCACCAATATAGATTATGTTAAGGTTGAAATGGAGATCCTTCTGCTGCCACAGTTTGAATTGAAATGCTGAGCCATTCATTTTGTTTCATCTGGATAGTGTTATGTGCTGACTTGGCTCTAAGATATGGCTTTATGGTATTTCATTGGATACGAGATTTCTGGTTCACCTTTTTCTTATGAATTTTGGGACAAGACAAATTAGAATGATCAAGTCAAACCTTAGTCTTAATGTTGGTTTTACTTTCTTTGTGATGAAACTTTATTAACAAACGGTTGGATTTTGAAATTAATGTTAGTTTAATTATTAACCTTGTGGAAAATAAAGTACTATTTTAATTTTTGTGCATTTTTTAACACACTTAGGGTTTTACATAAAAAATACAAAAATGACTCTAGATTTTAGAGATAATGACTCTAGATTTTAAAGATATATTTCCGGACCACGCAAAACACACACATTCTAGGTCAATTCTGAGTCACGCTTTAGAAATTTGACTTTTTTAGATCTAGAGATGCATCTCTGTAACTTGTCTGTAAATGCATCTCTGTAGCATACTGAAACTGAAACTGAAACAGACAATCAAAAAGTTGAATTTCGACAAAATAAAATTATCATTCATAACATAAAATCAACATTACATAAGTGATGTTAACCTAAAATCAAACATTACATTTTAATATTCAGTTGAATGTTTCAACATCTTCACAATATTTTTGACAAATCTTGAAATCGTCGTTTCCACCTCGATCGGAACTTTTGTTTCGAAACAGAAAAATATATCCCATATAGTTCTTACATCTGCATCCGTCTTGAGTTCGTAGTTGTTGAACTCAATTTTGTCTTCGTTGTTAATTGACAGTGAATGGTACTCGAGTTTCACAATTTTTCGATTATCTCCGTAAGATAGGAGAGTTTGCACTTCGTATTGCAGATCTGCAAAAGGGTGTACTCATTGACCTTAAATTCTCGCCCAGGTGTCTCACTAGAAAAGAAGGTATTTGCGATATACTAGATGATGTTAATTTGTGACATTTATGAAATTTTCTATTTGTACGAGACATGATACAAGAGCCTATATTTAGAGTAGTTATAGACAAATATGGAACTCAGTGGAGGTTTCAGAAATACATCTTCGATGCCAGCATATTTTTTTATTTTAAAAATTAATTTCCAGAATATCCACTAACCTGCTCAAATATCAATATATTGTTGAAAATACTTAGAAGAGATGCATCTCCGAAATAAAATTTTATTTTACTAGAATAAAAAAATATGGTGGTGCAAGGGTGCTTCATAAGGTGGTGCAAGGGTGCTTCGGAAATACATTTTCGAAATTTAAGAGACATTTTAGATTTTTCATAGCGAATAGATAATAAATTTCTTAAAATTTTAAACTATTTTTTAATGCACACTATATATTTTTTAGACACCACGCAAAAATAAAATAAAAAATATTTTTAATTTTTGGAGATATATTTTTGGATGTGCCCTAACACATACTTTTATTTATTTTTAAAATACATTTTAATTTTATAAATAAATTTTTATGAATAAATTTATTTTAAAAATACACCTTCAAAAATGTCCAAAAATGTATTTTTGAAAAGTGTTTATTTTGAAGTTAATTTGGAACTGTCTATATCCTCCTGTTGGACTTGGGATTGTTGCGTTGGACTTGCTGTAATATAGGCAGTTTCACTTCATTTTAGTTTGACAAATTCATAGAATACATATCTATTTTTGATTTCATAAAAATTAATTTTGAATTTCTCTATAAAATTAATTTTATTAAAAATAAGTTGAATGAAATTTTTATCACAATAACTTACACAATAACTTCCATTGAATTACTACTATCATCTTTCATATAACTCCCTACTAATAACTTACTACATAACTTCCATGTAAAATTAATATTAAATAAAAATATATCATTTATATTTATATGTCTGTGCAATAAAAAATCGGACAGACGGGCACGCGAGTGCCCGTCTGGACGCTAGTTCCAAAATAAATGAAATATGAGGTATGTTCGAAAATGTATTTTCAAAAATTGAAAATATTTTTGAATTTTTTTATGATACTAAAAATATATTTTTAAAAAAAATCTTCAATTTTTAAATATCATGTTGGATTTTGGATACATTCTCTAGCCCATGGACTTAGCAATTTCTTCAACAATGCAAGCTTTTGGGAGTTTTTTTTACCTGATCTTCCTACATGTGCACCTCCCATCTTATATTAGACACAAAATGATAATCTTGCTTTAATAGAAAATAAGTAAAACATTAAAAAAAAAGTTAATTAGGTTTTTTTAAAAAAATATATATACATTTATACTGCATTTTTCATTAAACTATAAAAATGTGGTGTTTTTTACCACACTTAAGAATAAATACGGTAAATATCCTAAATTTCTAAGTTTCTTTTTGTGTGTTTTATTGCATTTTTTGGGTTACGATTGTTCACCGCATTTTTAGTAACGTGTGATATCCAATCTTTTATTTTCCCTGCATTTATTAGAGAAAGTGGTACTGCTATAAATGTTTATCGTAATTTTTAGGAAATACGGTATAAAACATTGTTTGTGGCTGCATTTTTCACAAATTGTGGCATACTTGATTATTATTTATTTTAACTTTTTTTCATAAATTATGTATGGTCTTCTATTTTTTAAAGGTAAATTTAGGATTAAAACGGAGAAGTCTTTGGACCTCCTCTTTGTTCTTTGAGAGAATTTTCGGTGCAAACCGCCTTAGATTCTGTTTGATGGACTTCTTTTCAGGTTTGATTGGCAACTTCAATTCGACTATATCTCTGCTTAAACCAGGCATCTCATCGTAATCCCATGCGAAATAGTCTTTAAACTCCTTTAATAGTTGGATTACTTCGAGTTTGAGTTGTGGGCTGATGTTGGCACTTATGTATGTTGGCCTCTTTGTTGCCTCCTCTCCTAGATCGATTTCTTGAAGGGGATCTTGCGCTGGCATCTTGATACTGGCTGCCAACAGATCCTTCTCGAAACCCAATCATAGATGGCATCGAGCCTCTGGGCTTGTTGCTCTTTCTGAACCTTATCGGGTGGTTCTGGATCGAAGTCCTTACCATGACCTTCTTTGTATGATTCTTGGCTGGCTTCGACATCCATATTTTCCACTTCAGCCTCTAAGGCCGCTTGTAACTTATTTTCGGCTACGTAAGCCAAAATCTTTTTTAGCACTTCGAACTCAGTCATCATCACTGAATTCGCTTCCCCAACCTGTTGAGGTTATTCCAGATATACCAACGTACGGAAGGTTGTCTTCTCCTACCACATCTCTATCCCATCGAAAACTATGGACGGGATGTAAATACAACGAATAGTAAACGTCGTCATCTGGGGTGAAAGCAAAGTCAGTCGGATTGCATGGAGCAATGTTGGCCAAGTGCTTATCGAAACTGCACCTGTTGACATGGTTAATTAGGGCTTTGAAATAACCTTGATCAGCCTCAATATTTTCGACAATGTCGTCTGATCTCCATATTGTAATTCTCTGGTGCATGGAAGATGGTACAACCCCAATTCCATCGATCCACTCTCATCCCAACAGCAAGTTGTAATTGGCCTTCGTTTCGACCACCATAAAAATAGTAGGTCTTGTAATTGTCCCCACCGTAAGGTCAACTTGTATGACACCAAGAGTAGTGCCTACATTTCCCTCGTAATTCGAGAGTACCATGTTGTGTGGTTTGGTATCCGTGTCATATTTGTCGATTCTCCTCAGCATAAAGTGCGACATCAGATTCACCGTAGCGCCATAGTCCACCAGAATTTTATTAACCGCAACGTTCTCTATCTTATCGGTAATAAACAGAGGCTTTAAATGATTTTTCATTGCCTAATATAGTCGTTCAAAGAACGCATTCTGCTCTTCGACACAGTCGTTATTCATCACATAGTAGCACACTAGCTTGTGTGCTGCCATCTCAGCTTTTGTATACATGTCCAAATCTTCAACCTCAGTTATCTGGTCAAACTCTCTAGGTAAAACCGATACCATATTTACTATGATATCCAATAGGGCCTCTGACCCAGAGTCAAAATTATCAGTCAGCATTTCATCTTTATTAATTTCTCAATCGTACTTCTCCTTAGCCTCCTCTCCCTGGGTGGCAAACAGCTTCCTCCCCATGGGTAGCTTCTCAAAAGGCTTTAGTTCCTCCTCTTTTTCTTTCATGGTAGGGAGGTTAGTACTAGATTCAGCCTTAGCCTCAGCCTCTCTTTGAGCCTTCCTTATGCGTTGCTCTCTTCTCCACTGGAATCGATACATTGGATTTTTTCCTTTGTAGTTTTCTGAGACGTAGGTTGTCTTCTTCGAAGCCTAGAACTCCCTGGGGTAAGCCATTGATGAGCCCCTGCCGACATTTTCCATTTTTGTTGTCCCTGATGCTTGCCTTCGACTGGTTTCATCCAACTTTCTCTTGAAGCCTCAACCGTTGGTTTGAATGTAGAGGACTTAACTCCTAACACCCTTTGCTTGGTTTCATCCTGCCTTGAAGAGGATCTTCTTGGGTCGAAACCTCGTTTTCCGTAGAAGACTCTGTACTCACACCTTTCTTTTGCCTTCATCACACCCTCTATGTTGCACGCTGCCTTTTTGTCAAACACATCACTGCACCTTAGGCACAACATAACTTCGGATTTTTTATTCTGGCACCTGTGGAGAAAATCTATGAGGCTTTCCTTCTTCTTTGGGTAAGCCACTTTGTTATATTCTTTCTGTCGGCGCTCCTCGTTGACTTCCATAGGGGTTTCTTGTGAGATCTCCACCATGTTGATGTCCATATTGACATCATCGGCAATATTCATCTTACAGAATTTCATTTGAAGGCCATCAGTGGCCTTGTCCATTCTAACAAAATTGTCAGCAGTTTCCTTCATTATCATCATAAGGTTGGAGTCCTCAGTAACTCCTTTGGCGAAGCCATCAGTAACTCTGCATTCGAAACTATCAGTAGTTTCTTTGATGAAACCTTTAGTAGCTTCACGAATAAAATCTTTCATGAATTTATAGTCAAGATCTTCAGTAACCTGGACCAAAACAGGCTTATTAATTCAGTGACTTCAATCATGTTGACTGCATTGTCGAAATCTCCAGCGACTTCGACCATGTTAACCTCTTTTGGCTCTGTATAATGAGCGTCAGTAATTTGTAGAGGGTCAGCGTCAACTTTCATCTAGTTCTTGGACTTTTCCCCGAATTTGAGCCTTCCCTCCAAGATAGCATTCTGAACAAGATCCCTGAAAATAAAACATTGAGAGGTTTTATGACCCAAGAAATTATGGTATTTACAAAACCATTTTTCTTTCTTCGATCTAAAGGGGGCATTTTAGCACCAGGTGGTACTATCATTTTCCCAACTTTAACTAAAAAATCAAAGATTTTGTCACATTTTGTGACGTCAAATGTATAAGTTTTCTTAGGAAACCTATCATTCTTTTCTAGTTCGGCAGGATTCTTTCCATTCGAAGGTGCTAAAACCTTGCAAGAATAGGGTGAACCCTTTTTCAATTCAGCAAGATCTACTTCATTCTCATCGAAACTCATAGGCTCACTATAAGGCCCTTCTTCTTCTTCATTGAATTCGACATAGGTTATTCTTTTATTCTTATTTGACCTAGCCTTTTCTTCTTTCAAACGTTCTAACTGTCGAACCCTATCGGCCAACTGGATCATATCCCTCAGGTATGGAGTATCTAATTTCTTCATGATGGAATAATCCAGGCCACCAGCAGCCATTTCGACTAACTTGTGTTCTGACACTTGTGTGAAACACCTTGCGTTGAGAAGTCAAAACTTATTCAAATAAATGTTTATTGGCTCAGTAAACTTTTATTTTATACTAGCCAATTCCTTCAAATTGATCTTTGTTTGTCCTATGTAGAACTTCTCGTCGAACAAACGTTCTAACTGGGTCCAATTATGAATCGAATTTGGAGGTAGGATTGTGAACCAAGTGAAAGTGTTCTTTGTAAGAGAACTTGGGAAATATTTTATCCTAAGGTTCTCATCATTCGAATCAAATACCTAGCCACATGTTTGACAGTGGGCTCAGTAGTATCCCCCAAAAACTTAGTAAATTTAGGAACCTTAGTTTTTGGAGGTAAATCTGACGGAAGGATGTATTCAGATAACGGTGATGTATAATTTGGCCGTCGAAGGCCAAAATTTACTCTATTACGTGCCATAATTCTTTCGACCATGGTAGTCAAATTATCATATGCTACTACGTTGTTACATCGAACTTGTTGTACAACATTTTCAACATCCTAGTTCCTATTTACCAAAACTACCTTTGGTTCTTCTTCTCTAGGAATTTGTGGTTGATTCCTAGGGGGTTCGACTCTAGGCTTTTCGATCATTCCCTGGTTATTTTGATTTGCCTAGGGTATATTTCCAAGTTTTTGTTGAATTTGGTTAAGGGTGGTATCTTCGTCAAAAACTATCCCTTGGTTTTCTATCATATACTCCCTCGATGGTTGTCAAGGGGGATTTGGTACACCAAAAAATTCTACAAGGCGCGTCATTTGTGCTGCTAATTGTTGATTAGTTTGGGTAGTATTCTGAATAAGAGGCTGAAAGATTTCCCCCATAGTTTGAGACATCATTCGGACCATTTAAAGGTTACTTTCGTCCATTTGTTGTCTTAAATATGATGCAGAACTGGTTGTCAAACTTGACATTTTGGCTGAATACCCTAATTATAAAGTTTGACTATTTCGACCCATATTTTCCCCAGAACCTGATCTCTGTAATGGCGAAGTCATTATAGGTTATGTATATAATAGAGGGGCGTTTTGTAAGTTTTTCATCATCAAAGTTGGCATCCCATAGGGTGGGTCTCGAGGCAGGGGTATTAAAAATCCAGGAGGAGGGACGCTTCTGAATGCTGAAGCCCCTATTGGTGGTGGAGTCTGTGGAGGACCCCTTGGCCCAATATAAGTCAGAATGGGTTACGTATGGGCAATCGAATGTGTAGGTATCAAACTTCTCATAGATGGTATTGCTTCAGAGACAAGCCCTGAGATCGTTGGTCCTCTTGTCGAAGATCCTATGGGTTATTCTACATTGTTACTAGGCGTATCCTGAGAAATATTTGGTTGGTTAGAATTTGCCACCATTCTCCTCCTATATCTTCTTCTTGTTCTATCTTCATTAACGGTGGCTACTTTAGCACTTCTTAATAACATGCAACGAAGTTTTCAAAGAAAAAATGGATCGCGGAACTAACAAATTTTCAAAAATTTCGAAGCGAATTTTATGATCACTTAGCACAGTCCCACTGGGCATGCCAATTTGTTTGCCGTGAAAATTGGTGAACAACCGCTGGTCTTCCATATTGAAAAAGATTTGTTTTACTTGCAGGATCCACCACACAAATCCTAGGACATGTGCTAATTGATCTTAAACAAAGTTTAAAAAGAAGATGAATACTTCGACAGAGTTCATGATAAAATAACTTATTTCAAATGTAAATGAAAGTGAACGCGAACGATTAAAGTCGAAGGATTAGTAAAAAAATGTAGAAAATAACTTGCATAAAGAAAAGATAAATTCTTAATGAAAAAGACTTATTGAATTGCATTAAAATATAAAAATGGTGTTATAAATCCTAAGACTTAATGAAGAATTTGTACACAATTGAACACACACAAATCCTAAGACTAAGACTTGCTATTTATACTAATAAAAAAATAACTCGATTAACGGCTAGCAAACTAAATCGAGACAAGTGGCGCTCTGCATGTCTTCGATTCTTAGAAGCGCTCCACGTGTCTTTTTTGAGAAACGAATAAGAACGAACTTTTCCTCCTTTATTTGAATTCAAATCTTCCTGTCGAAATGCCTTCAGTAGCACCTCTGTTGAATCGAATCTTCCAACTGCTAAAAAATATTTCTAAGTCCGTAAAGTAGTTTCTCCTGACAAAGGAACACCTTCGACTCACATTCCAAAACATAATTTTTGGTCGAAATATTCAGATTTCTTTAGAAACCTATTACTCTCTTTTAAACCAATTCAGACGTCGAAATTTAGAGATAACAGATAGATAGACAAACATAAATGTCTAATGAATATTAATTAATTATGAGGGATAATTTATAAAGATTTCAAAAACACTGGTGCAAAAATGTGGTTAATTCAATTAAGCGATTTTTTCAATTGACAGATGAAATTGTAGTTGATTTAATTATATGAATTGACTATGAACTAACCATTTACTCAATTAAATTAACTACATTTTAACATATGATTAATTGGATGTGAGCCTATGTTTAAAAAAAGGGTGTATGTTTATTATCAAGTTTCATTATATCCTTCCAATGAAAGTAACTTATTGTGCAACACAAATGTAAAGGAGCTATCCCACTATTTGATCCAAAGCGATTCCCTCAACTTTAGTTGTTAATAATAGTATATGTTCTTCATTCCACTCAATAAACATTATTAAGACAAGAACCCGATACCTTGACCACTAACTACCTACGTACATTTTGAGAATCAAACTCCAATGGAAGAGGAGCCTTCAATTGCTAGATGCGATACCCACCATCATTCAAATTCATGCTCTCATATATATTCTATGGTCCCATTCTTAGACACATTATTCAATATTCATCACTCGAACAATAACATTCACTGAAAGAGTCTAAAACATGCACTGAAATCATAAACAAGCCCTCAAAAAAATTCAAACTCTTAAATTACATATGCTAATATCTGAGTTCAAAAGAAAATGAAAATGGAAAAACATACAGTAGTAACATATTGCATTTTATTACACTTGAAATTTTGTTTTTGGACATAGTTTAATTTCATATGTCGATGTAGCAAGGTGGAGTACCAAGCAATGGAACCTGGCCCACAAAACCTCTCTTCAAACCAATCAACACATCACACTTTCCATAGAAACCATAATGTGCTGTTCTTATTGCACCAGCTTTCCATCTCAACCTTCCAAGAAACACCAGTTTCAGACCAACTACTCCATAACCTTCATCCATCATCAAACTATTTGATATTTCTACCGACACCGGAACCGCGGTGCCTCCGAGCACAGGAGACAGTGAAACCTGGCTGTGTTTTTCTAGGAATAACGGTGGTAGCATAACCTGTGGCGTTATGGCTTGGTTTCTGTAGGAAACAAAAGCTGAGAATCTGTCATAGTAAACTGAGACACGTTTGTTTGGATTCTTGATGAGGACGTTGAACTGCAAGGTGGCGGAGAGGAGAGGTGGTGAAGTTGTGTTGAGGCCGTAGACGGCGACACCGACGACGGTGAAGTGAGGTTTGTGTGGACGATAGACAAGCCAGAGGACAAGTAGTGTGATACCGATTAGTATGAGAAAGATGGTTATGAATGTGGCGAAAGCACGTTTGGGAGAGCTTGTGCTGTAAGGAGAAGCTGAAATAGGTTTGTTGTTCATTTGGAGTTTGTCTGGGGGAAGATGGTGGTGTTGTTGGTTTTGAGTGATTTGGTTTTCTTCCATGGGAGAGGAGATTTTGATGTTTAGATATTAAAGTTAAAGGGGTGGAATATGTTTGGACTTTGATAGTGACAGAAAGAAAGAAAAGGATTGGTTTGGTGGGGTGTTTTAGTAGTGAATTTGATACAAAATTTGAGGGAAAAGGAAATTAATAAGCTTCAATGGACCATAAAAAAGTTATAAAGTAGAGATAGTATTGTGTCACTTGTGATTAAAAAAGTACAATAACATCTAACATGACCCTAGTTACTGATTTTTATTTTGATATGTGTAATGATGAGTGATCACTCTTTTGAAGAGAATGGGTTTTACACTTGCTTTCACTTCACTATCATCATGAACAAAAGTATCAAAAATATGGATGATGAAACTAAAATGTTACATTAAAAGTATAAAAAATGAATTACTTCATTTTTTGCTATATTTAGTCAACACTCTACCAAAGTAATAAAAAATTATATTTTATTGCCACAAATACTGAAAATTAGAATTAATGGTAGGCAAGTGGTTTATTTAATTTCTTAATGAGTAAGCATAACAAATAAGTAAATAGTTCACCGTTTGCTAATGCGGGTTGTGTTTAAAAACAAAAAGAATATTATTTTCTTTATCTTTTAGTGCGTGGTGCTTTTAATTTTACTTTCTTCAAAAATAAATGAGAACAAGAGTGGAGAAGAAGGGACAATGGAAAGAAGAGCCAAAGAAAGAGACGTGGCTCAGTTTGAGTTCTTTTACCGACAATTGGATAAACTTGTAGACTTACAAAACCAACAGATTCTGCATGCAATCAAAATTTGGTGTGATTATGTGTTTTTACCTCAGTTTTACACATGTTAGGTTGTGTTTGGACCATGCTTCGTTGGATCCCACAACTAGTAATGCACACGTCACTTACAATTATTACACCGTTAGATTTGTCAGAAGAATCAAAGTGATTCTAACAAACTCACTTGATATAAATAGTATGCCATAAAACAAACAAGGCTTCAAACCATAATGTTTCGAGTCTCTTCAACATTGGTATAACAAAGAACATTTACAGAGGCTAAATCAAAACTTCAAACCACTCACTAAATAATTACAATCCTAAATTTGTAGGATACAACACTCAATGAGTCAATATAACAAGCTGACAGAAAACACTAACAAAGGTATTAAAATCAAACAGATTTCACCAGGCCTACATTTAATCATTGTCGAGTAAAATTAGTGTTGGAAGTCAGACTGTAAATCAATAATCAAAACAACATGAAACAAAACAATCTCAGTAACCTCCGATATCAACCACAACCTCACTTTGTACTTGGCGAACAAATTGCCCTTTCACCCGTGGACGTTTATCTGCCTGTCTTTTCCGGCTTTCATATCGGACCTGTAAAATAAATTTGAGCAATGAGCATCTAAGAGAGCTTCAAAAATGTTATCCTTTAGAGTACTGAAAACAAGCCGTGCGAATTAATGGTGATTTCAGAGCAAATAGTAGTGCTGCAAGTAATTGCAAAAGTCCCCTATTGGACAATGATGATAAATATTTGCAGAGTGGTTATTTTTAAAAGCAGTGAAAGCATGGTGGTTGCAGTACCTTTTTGTCATAGCATCTGTCTTTTCTCTTCAGCCGAAACTTTATTAGAGCTGCTTCTCTTTGGCTGGTGTGGTAAGAATTTGTGCCTCTAAGCTCGTCATAGTGATCATTACTAATAGAACTTTCAAGGTGGTTCTTGCCTACAAGAGATGAACGGGCATTTCCATCACTTCCGCTGCCTGTGCCTTCACCACTAGTGTTGCGATTTTCTGAATCATGGTAAAAGCTAGTACCACAATTTTGACCGTTAGATGAAGAGTCATGCATAGCACAATCAATATTGCTTTGATCATTTTTGTTTAGATCACAAGTATAGGTGGTGTCATCCGACCATTGACGAGCTTCTGAGTTCTGACTTTTAGGATTGGAATGGGAGGAAATACTAGTGGGAAATGGAGAACTTTCCTTTTGGAACATTGATTTGGGTGTCCATGTGGGATTGTCTGACCGTGCGTTGCTTATAGAATGAAAAACATTATCATGTTCCATAGACTTGTTATCAGAAGTGTCCCCGGTGGTGGCAGCTGGAAAGAATTCATGTTGACTGTTTGGAAATTTTGCATCAACTTGTACAGACTGACCAATCACCAGATAGGTGTTACTATCCTCTTTTTGGTTTTTTCCATCACACTGATAAGTATTATTTGTACTTTCAGATAATTTTTGTGATTCATAAGAATTATTTGTTGGAAATAAAGGCTGCAACATCATACTGTTACCATACCTGCAAACAAGAATTTTGTCATAAGTATCATTAAAAGTTCTGTAGCTTTTTATTTGAAATGCTGAATAAGAAATATGATCGGTAAAGCAAGAACTGACACTCACTTCTCAACAAAATAAGAGTTTTCAACACAATAAAACCATATTACAGACAGATATACAGAAAATACTATATACTAGTCATTCAAATTTTGCTATTAACATCTCCTTGAAGCATTCGAGAAATTGTTCTGATGATAAACACACCAATATGTCTGCTGTCTCTCAAGAAGTTTGACAAATTTTACCATTCTGGAGACTATAAAATTTTTATTCTCCATGTTGTTTTAGTTCACATGATATCTAAAATTTAGCTGGATTTTAAAACCATTGATACATGTGTAACAGCATAAACATGACAGAGAAAAGAACGGGTAAAGGAGATGCATAAGCAGAATTACAGGAGACCAATTATAACTGTCAATTGTGTCAAATAAAGTTTCTTGCTTTGTCAACACAATGAAAAATTTGTATGAAACATATGTTTAGTTTATTTGCTATCAATAAGAATTCAAAAAATCAAAATCAAATAGTGAGCTCACCGAGCAAATGGAGAAGCATGTGAATGATTCAATATTTGTCTTTCCTCAGTGGTAGGTTTAGATGAGCTGCCAGGATAATCTCTTTGTAATGAAAGTTCCAATTGTGTATCATATTCAAACTTGGCTGTGTTACCACCATTGAAACTACAATCTGCATAACTGCTCTTAGGAAGATTCTCAAAAGTAGCCATCAAGTCAATAGCTCCTGCAGAATGTTCTTCTAGTTCATCATCGCGTTGATGAATCTTTGTATTAACATGAGGATTGGCTTTGCCTAACTCTGTTCTTAACCCTTCTTCATCTTGGTTTTCCGTTTCATTATATTCATAGCTTTGACCTAGCCTTAAACCTGTTGAAATTTTGTCACACCCTGCAGCTTTAGGTGCTGTTAAAGTTGATTTCTCTGCAATAAATGTTAATTGTCAGCAAGTAACAAAATATAGGCCAAAAATTTGAACAAATATACAAGATAAGAGTAAGTTACATACCTCCAGCTTCGTTGTTATACTCAGTAGACTCCCATTCATATTTGGTAGAATTTTCGTGCTTCACCTGGTCTGTATTGCTCAAACTCGAAGAACTCTTCAGCTGGGACACATCCTGCAAATTTTTCATGATCCATGATCAGCTTCCAAAAATGGTGATGTACAAGTAAAGGTATTTGCACAAGAGTTGCCAAAACATGCAGTTTCTGTTTGAAATTTCAAGAGCCTAGTCTACTCTAGAGAGGAAAATTTCATGAAGTTTACAAAAGAGTGGCTTCATATATGAATTGTACAAATTGTAGTTGTATGTCTTTTTATGTAACACAAGCCTGACGTTAAAAGCGTAGATAGAACATTAGTAATGAAATCAGCTCAGATAAAAGGTAACTGCTATTTCACAACACACTGAAACCTCAGAAACTGATGTATCTAACAATCATATTAAAATTGTTTCAGTGATTTTTTAATGGCATGCAGAAGCAGAACTTACTTCAACTTGAGCCTCACTATTTTTTTCAATGCATTCGATATTTTTCTGCGTGGAAGCCACAGAACCACTAGAATTATTGCTTGCAGTGTTGTTTTCTTCGGCAACATCAAGTTTATCATGTTGAAATGTTAAATTTTGAGGAGGCATGCTAATCTGTATACGAAGTAAATACAAATTGGATTAAAAGTACGCCCACGCTAAAGACAACAACAAGAACAAAAATACAAGGTTTATACAAGAAAGTTGAAGAACATTAACATACAGTATGTCTTCTCCACACATGCTGCCATAAGTTCCTTAGCTCATTCCTGCGAACAGGTTTAATGAGAAAATCAACAGCCCCGTTTTGCATACATTTGAACACCGTGCTAACTGAATCGTGAGAAGACATCACTGCAAATCACACCATGAGAAATTGAGAATCAACCCTAACCCATTAGCCAAAACTAACTAATATCAAGATTAATAATTAAGGACACAGAGTACCAAGTCAAAACATACTTATGACAGGAACTTTTTTGCAATTGTCATGCTCCATGATTGAAGTAAGTAATGAAAATCCAGATATTGAAGGCACATCTACTTCTGTTAATACAATATCTATATCACATGATTTGTTCTTCAATGTTTCCCATGCCTTTAAGCCATCACGAACCGCAGCAACTACATGTAAAAAAAAATTACCATTAAGAAATTCATAAAAAAACATGAGCTTAAAGGTACATACATCTTCCACACAATCACTTGAAAGAACATAACTTAAAACAGTGCATACACATATCAAACCTCGCATATTCTCAAGCACTAAGCCTAAGCTACTGTCTTTGATAAAGAATATCTACACAATTATTACATTTAAATTTTAAAAAAAAAAAAAATCACATTTAGTGTTTGCATGCTTAGAATGAATCTGTTCGAAGTTCAAAAGTGAGTGTCAAAACCATTAACCCAATACACACACTCAATTAGAAGAAACTAACTTTTAACGGTTCATACACATATCAGACCAGGGTTATAAAAAACAGCCTGTGGCCGCAAAAATCGGTTGATACTGTTATTTATCATTATTATATTAAATAACAAATTGTGATTAATTCACACCGCAACGAGCACAATCCGTGTCATGACACCTGAACCGACCG